AAGTACAGTACAATTAGGTGGTGATGACAACCTGCAATTAATCCTTACATTGTCTGTAAGTGAACATTGTCATCTATAACAGTAGTAGTTATGCAGAAAGTGCTATATTGCTCTTGCTAGTCTTAAATAACAGGCAGTAGCTTTTACTGCAGTATGTCATTTCAATTTCTGACCTATGATCTCTGGCTGTTTTTCTTTGCAGTGTACTTTCCGAGGACCAGGATAGTTACCTCTGTAATGTCACCTTGTTCAAGAAGGCAGTTGATGAGTTCAGACATAAAGCCCGGGAAAACAAGTGAGTGTTCCTCCAGTTTGTTCTATGCCTGAATGGTAGTTCGATATGCGTTGTCTCTGACGCATTTTTGGCATCACCTGGCAGGACAAAATTCCAAATAGAGTAGTCCTAGAACAAGCTGGAATTTTTAGCATGTACTGAAAACAGCGACGTCTATGTTGGCTTGAGCATGTCATGAGAATGGCTGACGGTCGGATTCCAAAAGATCTCCTGTGTGGAGAATTAGTGCAGGGAAAGTGTCCCACAACTGTGATAAAAGGATATCTGCAAGCGGGATCTGAAGGCCTTAGGAATAGACCTCAACAGATGGGAAACTCTGACCTCTGAGCGTTCAGCGTGGAGGCAGGTGGTTCATCATAGCCTCTCCCAATCTGAAGATACCCTTATCCAGCAGGCCGAGGCAAAGAGGAAGTCACAAAAGCAGCAAAACCAGGGAGCTGGACAGGGGACAGATTGAATTTGTCTTCAGCGTGGAAGGGATTGTCACTCTCAAATTGGCCTTCTCAGCCACACTAGACGCTGTTCCATGACCTCTACTCAGAGCACGTTATCATAGTGTCTTGAGACTGAAGGATGCCTACTGAATGGTAGTTATACAGCAGTCTGCAATTTCTGCTCTTCTCCCAATGTAGGTTTATGGTCCGTGACTTTCAGTACAATGAAGAAGAAATGAAGGCAGACAAAGAGGAGATGAACAGGCTCTCTACTGACAAAAAGAAACAGTTTGTAAGTTAAACTCCAATTTGTGCGATCCATTTCCTTGGAACATATCTTGAGCACTAAACAAGGTGTTATGCTGCTTAAAATAATAAATAAAATCATGTTTAAACACACAGTGTCGTCACTAAAGATTGTTCCAGTAATAGATCTCATCTTGACATACTTCACCTCGTTTTGTTCAGAAAGTGTGATGTAGCTACTGTGCCTTACATTTTGATACAATAGAGTCTTTTTGCTCTAATTGACTTCTTGTTTTTTCTGTCAAACTACAGGGACCTCTAGTTCGGTGGCTGAAAGTGAATTTCAGTGAAGCTTTTATTGCATGGATTCATGTGAAAGCACTAAGAGTCTTTGTTGAATCTGTTCTAAGGTATTTTTCTGCACAGATAAGAAGTATTGCTCCCTCTCTTCAGAAACCATGCAGTTCAGTGGTATCAGCAGCTGTGCTTTCTTTAAAGAGTACAGCCACTGAGATACTCCCAAGTTGAATTCATATTTTAATAAACAACTTCTTACATCTTATGCCATAAATGTGAATGAGGTCTTAGTTTAGATCATAGAAGCAAAACATTTATCAGAATAATACATATTTATGCTGTTAACTATATTAAGCCACCAGAAAGTGTATTTTAAAAAGTAGCTCTAGTTCTTCTTTTTCCCCCCACTAACACATATGATTAATGAGTTCTCTTAGGTTAAGTAATAAACCATAACAGCAATTTAGTGTTAAATGTGAAATGCTTTAGTGTTACCTCTCAGCTAGCTTTTATACTGTCCATGTAGCTGGTAACATGAATAGAGGATCTGCTATAGCAATCCTAAAAAGCCAGCATGCATTAAAAAGCAGAAATACATCCATAGTTTTTTCCGCATTTGCAGGAATTCTTCTCCAGAGGGCTACAAATTTTATGTTACTGTTGAGTAGGCGTCATGTGGAATGCTCTCTGTTGCTTAACAGAAACAGACTGCAAAGATCCATGCTATATCTGGTACTGGCCCAAATCTTTGAATTTATCCTCATGCAGGTTGATGACATCATCTGCCATTGGCTTTTATTGCTCATTTAAAGTTTCCCATTCCACCCTCTCTTCAGGTCTCAAGGCTCCCTCAAGATCTCTTTTGATCTGAAGAAGCCTTTGGGAGTCTCAGGACGGGGAAGGGCAAACCTTTAAATTTGATCCCAACAGGCTCAGGTACCCAGCTTTGTGGGGGGGAGTCAGTATGTAGCCTGCTTAATTTAATTGTAAACCACCCAGAGAGTTCTTTAAGCACGACAGGCTGGTATATAAGCAGAGCACACTTTGCTTTGATTTAATGCTTGAAAACTGCCACTAGTGGCCTTGCCACAAAAATCAGGACCATCAGGGGTGATTTTCAGGCATTAAAGCCCCACTCTAAAGCTTCTCTAAAAAGGATCTGGAAGGAGCCTCAGAATCTGGGGAGGTGGAATACGAAACTTTTAAATGAATTATTTAAAAAAAGTATGGCTGATCATGTCATCAACTAGTGTGGGCTTAAATTTGTGCAATAGGGTTTTAGCCATTGGGTTGTTGAGGTAAACATGCTCAGTGTCCTTTGCTGGGCCCCAGTGCCACTGGCAAAGTAATAAGCAAACCATTTCTTTTTTGTCCACTGCAAGAGATTCATTAGCCAGAGTTCTCTATGGCTGTAGGGATAATTGGGTAGTGATAACTGTCTTCATGAGTAACAGTTGTATTTGATAAAGTTTAAGGTTTTTACTGTGAAGGTCTTGGTTCCACTCTACAAGAAGTGCCATAGTAAAGTTTTTGGTTTTTACATTTGCATCAAGTTTTGTTGTTTTCTAGAGCCTCTTTATCAGTATTAAGGGAGACCCTTTATCAAATAAGATTTGTTTATTGTTGCTTTTTGGAAGGATAGATGTGGCAGAGGGCTTGAAGGGGAAATGCTGTTACAGTTTTTGACAATTGTTTCTCTGTTATTTCTAATGAGTAGCATTAGTAAGTAATCCAAACTTAACTTTTCAGGTCGTAAGTAGGGAGAATATTCTCTCCCTGTCAACAGGTTACTTAGACTTGGAGAAAGATGAGTGGGGAGATTCTTATACAGACTTAAAAAAAACTTTTTCTGCTCTTCAGGTATGGTTTGCCAGTTAACTTCCAGGCAATGCTCTTACAGCCCAACAAGAGAACAATGAAAAAATTGAGAGAGGTTCTCTATGATTTGTACAAGCATCTTGACAGCAGTGCGGCAGCCATCATTGATGTGAGTAATGTCCTCTGTTCATTATGTTCACTGTGGATACAGGGTTTGACACAATATTGATTATGGGTCTTTTTGACACCAAGTTGAAGCAATTTGCCTTTAATCACACAGAAAGGAAAAGAAACGCATTTGCCTTGTATAATGATGAAAGGGAGTGTAAGTGATGGCTGAACATTACAGTCAATACCAGTATAGCTTGCATACTTATGAGCATAGATTTCAGGCTGTGATGTGCTAAAGGGAGGAAGTTCTTAGAATTAAAATGTCCATGTTGTAATAGGGACACATATGACGGCTTTTGATTAGCTCAGGTCATTGATGCATCTAGCTCAGCATCTTCTACAGGGCTTCAAACAGCTATCATTTCCAGACTTGCGATGTGAGCAGTATCTCTTTCCTTTGGTTTGAAGGCTGAATTTTAAAATATTATCAAGAAGATGACATTCAAATTGATTTTTCGTTCAGGACGCACCTTTTAGAAAGATGTCACCATCATTCCTCCTGATAGTTTCTACATTAATTTTTTTTTTAAATCTTGTCTCAACAGGCAACTATGGATATTCCAGGTTTGAATCTCAGTCAGCAGGAATACTACCCCTATGTGTATTATAAGATAGACTGCAACCTGCTCGAATTCAAGTAGACCGTTCTGGCCCAGACCATACCCTCCTAGTGTTGGTGTACAAGCAGAAAAGGTTGAAGATTGGTGATACTTCCTAACAACTGTCTTGTAAACCTGTGCTTGCTTCTTTTCCCATTTGCCTAGGACAATAATTACCCCTAGTGGTCCATCTCTTGACATTTTCTTTTTAAAGAGAAATGTAAGTATTGCTTTTAATTGATCAGGTCTGTAAATGTATATTGAGAGAATCAGAGTGTATTTATAAATAGTTCTTTATTTAAAAGAGGAGGTCATTCTGCTTTCCTACCATGGTCTCTTATCAATTCCATTGATTTTCCTCCATGATGACCTTGTTTACAAAGGAAGAACAAGCATATGCCATTTTGTTCACTGTGTTTCATAGATATATTGTAAACATTGTTATTGAATTGTGTTGTAAAATATGTGGAGACTGATATTCAGTCGGTGCTTTCTGAATGTTTTAAATTTACATTAAGCACTGGAAACATTCACAGGAAAAAATAAAGCACCACTACAACTGTATTTCATTTGTCTCACTCTGCTGTAACATTGCCAAAATACATATGGAGAGGTTTTGAGGGTTAAAGTTCTTAGTGGGTAAACCTCAGACCGTTCTTAGGAAACAGTGGCTTGAAAGAAGGAAGTAGTCAGTATGATTACCGTCGTTGAGTAAACAGCTAAACACAGTGGATGACAACTAATGGTTAGTCTCAACTACAATAAACCCACTTATTGAATGGGATATGTGAATTCAGCACTTAACGTACCTATATTCTCTTATTCAGCATGGACTGAAATACTCTTCGTAGTGTAGCCCAAAGCATATGTTTGTGTCTGTTGCTCTGTTAAACAAAGCACCACTGCCATGATTTTTGGGGACACGCACACACACACACTGACTTGGTGTATTCATTCACATGCCCACGTGAATCATGTTGGGTACTCTGTTTACCACAGAGGAATGGATGGAGGGTTACACTTTACATATGCTATGAGCAGGATTCCAGCAATTATAGCCTTGTACGTGCATATTTAGTTCTGCGACATACCCTTGGTACATTTTGTTTATTTCATAAATAATCCAAAGACCCCTGAATGTATAATATATCACATTAGATTCTTTGGCCAGTATCCTATTTATCTGATGAATGGGCGGTCATGTCAGTATAGTAATGCAGGCTTGTACTGTTTGTTCAAGTGTTGCCATGGCACAAGTGGTGATATCCATGAGAAAAACATACCTTCCACTTGCTCAGTGGTGACACTTGTGCAAGCTGTGTGTTCCCATTCATTATGCTATGAAGACTTCTAAACCCTAAATTCTCAGAACAGCTCAATATCATAATACAAAGGCATTGGAACTACAAAGAGTGCAAACTTTCATACGGCACCTCTAGGTTTTAACAAAAACATAATTCAGCTGTTTATGATTCACCAACCTTGCTGAGCTGTAGCAAGCTAACTGTTTCGGTACGCATAAAAATTAGTTTGCAGTAACTATAGTAAACCGTCCCAAGCCACACTTTTAAATGTACTTTTATTTTTCGAGCAACTTTTCCTGCTTTCCCTTTAATTATTTTTAACACAGACACAGCATTTCAAATATTGACACTCCCCTTCCATTCTGCAGCCTCCAGCAGCTTTCCCACAATGAAAATGATCCCACAGGAATCTCAGGAACTTTGGGGGGCGGGGTTGTGGGTTGTCAGAAATGTTTTATTTCTGAAAAATTGCCATACCCCAGCCTCATCAACCATATGTGATGTAAGTTATGGAGCAGGATTTCAGCCAGGATATGCTAGTCACAGAAACAGTCTTACTGCAACCAGTGTTTTTAACATGAAGTCCAAAATGCTACTGCAGATGCCACTGCCAATCTGTATATTTGACTTTTGGGCATGTATTTTGGGCTTTAGGGTTTGGAGTGGGAGACTCCTTAGTGTAAGATACTTGGCCTTTCTGGGATTTAAGAAATGCTGTTAAGGATGTTTAAACATTAACAATAAGTAAAGGAAAACCAATTTGGGAAGGTTCTGCGTTGAAGCTTGTTAGAAAGGGACTTTCTCAGAACTTTCGCTGTCACTTTTATAATCTGATCAACACTTACCTAGCTGTAGGAACACATAATCTGGTTAGCTGCCTTTTGAGGTTCTCAAAATGCAAGGATATTGTGAATTAGTTCATAAATGAGAAAAAGGATGTGTTTTTTTCTCTCTCTTAAGAAAAAGTATAAAGTTCACTTGAGTATATTATTTCATTGAAAGGGATTTAAAATCCGAGCCATGTCAATTTCATTATTCTGTGCAGTTAATTATAATGAAAAACCAACTATTTGTGGACAGATATTGAAAACCTATAAATAAACATGTACATAACAACAAAAGCTAAAAGATTGGACAAGTAGCAAAGGTGAATAAGAAGATCACAATCTAGCCTTCGGACAAACGCTAGCTCTATGGCTTGGAAACAGAAATGAGCACTGCTGCCTAGAGTCGAACACGACTGGACAAATTGTCAAGGGAAACCTTTACCTTTACCACTTCCATTTGTGCTTCCTTGTGAAGTAATGTATAAACACAGTTAAGTAATATGTGGCACCAGGTGAGTTTGTTGCCCTTTCCCTGTAAGAAAACCAATTATTAAGAACTCTGAACTGGAAATAAATATTTTTACTCTTTTCCTTTCTTTCCTCTTCTTCACCATACATCCCTCCCCAAGAAACTGCCACTTTTTAAGTCCAGAGGCTGCTGTTTAGAATGATTCCATGTTGCTAAGCAACTGTGTCTTTTGTACAGCCTGGTTTTCGTGTGCTGACGGAAAAGAACGCTTTCTCATCAAGTGATAAAAGTCTTTCCAGAGTCTGCAGTTCCCAATCTGCTTCCATTGTTCTGAATCAAGATGGGCGATTGTCTTCACTATCTGCAGTCAACATCTGTTTTTAATACTTATTTTCAGAATTTATATCCTGCCTTCTTGCTGTTCCCTTAGGACAACTACCAGCAGTGGTAAAACATACAGAACAATATTCAACAAATCAATGAAAACTGAAAAGAGCAAATTAAAACAGGGGAGGGGGAGGGGGGGACAGCCAGTAATGAAGCACACTTCCAGTTAAACAGGGAAACTAGGTAACATAAAAGCAATGAGGTCCCTTTAATGCCTTTTTCAAATGTCATCAATAAAACTAGGTGAATGTAGTAGACTTTGTACTTGGTAAATAACTCATTTTTCCAGTGTAAAACATGAATGATAAAAATAGAACTTCCATCAGTGGCACAAGAATACAAGGTCTTTTTGTAACATTAATTAAAGTAGTTGTCATAGCCATCTCCACAAAATATTGTAGTGGTGGCCTATTACTGTCAAGAGTAATTAAGCATTTGTCCCCACTTTACATATCTGTGCTGTATCTCTCACTATGGAAATCAGTCTGACAGCTTATACAGCATTTGACATTTTAAGTTACAGAGTGGCTGGCAGTATTGTCCAAAGCAGGTCTCAGTTGCCTGATGTCAGCTTCTTGGGATCATTATTATGGAAGAAGAATTTTTTTTCTAAGATATTCAAGACACTGGTTTAAAGCCAGTCAATTGATTTGGGCCCAAAAATAATACACACGTACCAGCTAGCATAATATGGTCATGGCCAGTCATACATGGCATCAGCTTAATGAAGGCATTCTGTATGAAAATGAAGAGACAGTTCTTCATTGCCGTCTGGGTACATCACACAAATTGGTCTGTTGCTGTGCAGAATCATGGTTCAAACCTTCTAGATGGAGGGAGTTTTGGTGGTAGTTCCATCCCTTCTGCCTTCAACACATGCTTGAGTAGACATCTTTTACAGTAGTTCTGCTTCATATGTCACAACAGCAGCATGCAGTAGAATACCTTAGAGTTTCTAATAACCAGTTGTTCTGTGCTGTCAAGTCAGAACTGACTTATAGCAACCCTAATAGCACTTTCAAGGTGAGATATTTAAAGACTGGTTTTACCAGTTTTTAGCCCAATAAGTTCCCATGACTGAGCAGAGACTCGAACCCAGGCTTCCTGAGTTTGCTCTATTCACTCCCTACACTGGGCAACCAGAACAGTTATTAGTTTGGGGTTATTAATTTTGCTGTCCTTAATTTAGTTATCCTTCTCTTTTTTCCTTTAGTTAGTTATATACAGTGATGCCTCGCCAACCAATTGCCTCACAAAACGAGGAATTCGCTAGACAATGACTTTTTTTGAGCAATGTGACTTTTTTGAGCAATGTTGTGCTTCACAAAACGATTATTCCTATGGGCAATTTTTGCTGGATGATGTTTGGGTCCTTGCCTCGCAAGACAGTTTTTTTTTACCCTGTTTCACAAGATGGTTTTCCCCCCAATTGGAACACATTAATTACATAAGACCTACTTTTGTATCGGAAGAAAGTGGGGGAGAAAGTGTATGCTGCTATTTTTCCTGAAAAGCCAGCAGCATATACTTTCTCCCCCACTTTTTTGGTATAAAAAAGTAGGTCTTATATAATTAATGTGTTTCAATTGGGGGAAAAAACCATCTTGCAAAACATCACCAATGGGACTATGGCTGCAAATTTAAGTGGTAGAGGATGGTGAAAACAGCCAGGAACCAAAGGGTAAAGAGATTGTTAAAAAAAAAAACAGAAATCACAAACATAATGCCCCCATTAACACAAATTATACAGTTGAGTTCCCCACATTTGGGGAAATCACAGGGGTCAATTGCAAACCCAAAGTGCAATGGATGAGCCTCTCCCTAAGAAAATTACTTTGACAACATGGTATTTCCCCTACAAGGTATGAGTTGGAACAGCCCTTGCATCTTCTACCCCCTTCTGTCCCCTGACCCCCCAAGTTATGGTGACCTGGCTGCACCTCCCACTCAGTACAGGGCTGCACAGCCCCAGTCCTGCCAGAGGCCAAGAGAGCTCCTCCGTGTTTTGGGGTGCCCTGTGGGACCCCCATCGGGGGCTAAGTGTTCCTCCCACAATATGCTAATACCTTATGCTAATACCTGTACACTAGAGGATTGTGGGAGGAACATCTAGCCCCTGATGGGGGTTCCATAGGGCACCCCAAAACACTGAGGAGCTCTCTTGGCCTCTGGCAGGACTGGGGCTGTGCAGCCCTGTACTGAGTGGGAGGTGCAGCCAGGGAGTCACCATGACTTGGGTCAGGGGACAGAAGGGGGTTTGACTCCTTTTAACCTTTTTTTTTGCTGAAGAGAGAAGGCTACCTGAGACCCATTGAATTTCCAAAGGCAGTGCAGGTGAGGGAATTGCTTTTCCCCAATATGGTATGGGGAACTGTGTTTTGCAAGATGATGTTTTCTATGGACGATTTTTGCAAGACAGTGATTTTTCCCCCAATTGGAATGCATTAAATGGATTCCAATGCATTCCAATGGGGAAATGGGTTTCACAAGACAGTGATTTCCATGGAATGAATTCAAGACAGTGATTTCCATGGAATGAATTAAAATCGTCTTGCGAGGCACCACTGTATTTTGCTA